TTCCCGGAGCACTAATTCCCCGTTTTTTCCCCATTTTCCCCCAGCCCGATGGAGTTCCCGGAGCACTAATTCCCCGTTTTTTCCCCATTTTCCCCCAGCCCGATGGAGTTCCCGGAGCACTAATTCCCCGTTTTTCCCCCAGCCCGATGGATTTCCCGGAGCACTAATTCCCCGTTTTTCCCCCAGCCCGATGGATTTCCCGGAGCACTAATTCCCCGTTTTTCCCCCAGCCCGATGGATTTCCCGGAGCACTAATTCCCCGTTTTTCCCCCAGCCCGATGGATTTCCCGGAGCACTAATTCCCCGTTTTTTCCCCATTTTCCCCAGCCCGATGGAGTTCCCGGAGCACTAATTCCCCGTTTTTTCCCCATTTTCCCCCAGCCCAATGCAGCTCCCCGAGCTTCCCGTAGCACTAATTCCCCGTTTTTTCCCCATTTTCCCCCAGCCCAATGGATTTCCCGGAGCACTAATTCCCCGTTTTTTCCCCGTTTTCCCCCAGCCCGATGGAGTTCCCGGAGCACAGCCGGCAGCTGCTGCGGGGGCTGCGGGAGCAGCGCTCCCGGGGGATCCTGTGCGACTGCACGGTGCTGGTGGGCACCGCGCCGTTCCCCGCGCACCGCGCCGTGCTGGCCGCCTGCAGCTCCTTCTTCCACCTGTGCTACGCCGAGCCGGGCGGCGCCGGCGGGGCGAGGGGCGCCGTGGTGGCCTTGAACAGCGACATCGTCACGGCTCCGGCCTTCGCGCTGCTGCTCGAGTTCATGTACGAGGGGCGGCTGGCGCTGGCGGCGCCGCTGGAGGACGTGCTGGCCGCCGCCAGCTACCTGCACATGAACGACGTGGTCAAGCTGTGCAAGAAGAAGCTGCAGGCGAGGGGCCCGGCCGAGGCCGACAGCACCAAGCGGGAGGAAGAGGAGGAGGAGGAGGACGCCCCCAGCCCGCCCCCGCCGCAGCCCCCGCCCCACGGCCAAGGTCAGGACACCCGCCCGGGGTGCGGGGGAACGGCGGGTGACGGCCACCCCCCCGGCACCCACCGGGCAGCGGGGAAGCCCCTTCTCCTCATTTCCCTCGGGGGTGCAGCGGGGCCACGTCCCCCCCGATCCGCTCCCTGGGCGGGGGGGCTGCAGGTGCCAAGGGACCCCCCGCACCCGCGCGGGTGGCGAGGAAGGGGCTCCCCGGAGGGTCCCCCCTCCCCCCGGCGGTGGCAGCATCCTCCTCATCGTCCTCCTCCCCTCCGCGGTGCCCGGAGCGCGATCGTACCTGCGGCGGGGGCTCAGCGCCGGGCGGGAAGCGGGGCGGGGTGCGGGGCTCGGCGGAGCGGGGCCCCCCGGGGCCGGTGCCGGGGCCGGTGCGGGGCGGCCGGGCCGCTCCGCCACATCCGC